CTGTCAAGTTGCAAGACACCAGCAGGCAGAGGAGAGGGCAGGGTTGCAGACCTCACCCCATGCACACACTTACCCCGACTTGCCTGGCCAGCTCCTATATATCCTGGGGGGCAGCTTCTCCCTGTGACAGCTGCAGGCAGCCACCTGTGCCTGTCCCCTTCCCCCTCCTCGAGACAGAGGAACTGAACACTGTCGGTATGAGCCTTCACAGGACGTTCTGCTAGTACATTTGAAGGGCCCTGGAAGCCTTGGGCTCATTAACCTGGGACTCTAAAACCGGAAATCAGAAAAGTTTCAAAAACTCCTTTGAATGACAATGTCAACTTCTGTCTGTTGGAAATTGCTAGTAGAGCCTCTTCCAACTGAGGAGACCTTGTGTATTTTTTCATCACCCAGAAATATTTTCCAGTGTAAAAAAAAAACCCCAAACACCCAACATCAGTCTATGCCATGTTATTTTAACTCTTTATCTCTTGAGAATAGAAAAACACAGAAAGCTAAATGTAAAATCCTCACCCGAGCTAGTCATTTGATTTTAAATTCTGGCAGCGCTAGTAGGAAACTCAATTGCTTCCATTTGAAGGGCCAGGAAATTGATTTGGAAAAAAATAAATTTGAGGGATTCCCAAATAGTGGCAGCATGGGATGAATAAGAGAAAGATGAAGGTACCGGCTGATCTTATTTCCAACCTTAAATGGTGATAGAGGAGCCCGGGTACACTTTTGGTGGCAGAGCTCAGGGGGAGTCTCCACTGCCTGGTAACTGCTGAAGGTTCTCTGTGATCACAAGAGCCAACCCGGAGGCTGCCCTGCAGGGCTCTCCACTGTTAGTTCCTTTCCAGCCTTCCCTCTCACTGGGTCTTCGCTCTTGAGCTTCCTGTGTGCTCGCCATGCCAGGATGTTTCTAGGCTTTGCTTTTGCTGCTGTCCAGATACCAGCTTCAATTCCAGTTTGTACTCCAAGCCTCCTTATCTCCCTCTCTCCCTGCCCTTGGTGTGATTGCTCCTTCCATGATGTTCCTGTAACAGTTTCTTTCTCTTCCATGATAGCTCTGATTTTTCTGTTAGGATTAGTAGTGTGTTGCCTTGACTGGGATGGAAACATACTAAAAACAAGAGACCACGACTTATGTACATTTGCAGCTTGACTATATCTAGAACGTACTTAAAGCTGTCATCATTCGTCGAATTCTGAAAACCTCATAAAGGACAACAGTCTACAAACATGTATGCTTTCTGCTTAAAGACAGTCTATTGGATACCGAGATCCCTAAAGTTGCGTCTGTCACAGAACCAGATATCTGGATCAGTGGAGCCACGTTCAGGTGCTTCCAAACTTTGGGCTGTTTGGTGTCACTGAAACTCAGACACCTGATGAATGGGTGATGTTTTTGTTTTCATAGTCATAGGATTCTAAGATTTTAATGCTAGGAGGTACCTTAAGGACCCAGACTCATACTGGGAACCAGTGTTCAGTGACTTTGGTTATCCAATGTGTGCACCCAGCCCATACTATCACTAAGAGTCCTGTCCACGGTGTCTTCCATGCAGAGACCTTAATTACGCTTGACATCACCAGACAGCTGTGCTCTCTGACCGTTCGGGACTGGCTGGCTTTCTGTGCATCCAACACAATCCCCTAAGCCACCTTTTGCTAAAGACTGATATCATTAGGATAGAATTAAAAACACAAGTGGACGGGTGCTGAACTCAGAGGGGCTGGGAGTAATGCTAACAATGTATTAGCCATTGCCTCGCTGAGGATATGGCAGCTGCTGACTTCAGTCAAGTTCAGACCCTTAAAAAGAGTGGAAAAAAGAAAGCACATACTTTCCAGTGCCCGGGCACTGCACAGCCAGGCCAGCTGGGCACAGCACCGTGGCAAAAAGATCTCTTCAGTTTCAGAAATACGAGCTTCTGAGCTTGCACCCGGCAGGGGAATGTGGCTGCAAGTGGGTCTGATTTGGCAATGCATTGCAGGGCCGGCTTCGCCTTAAGTTATAGCAGACACAGTCCCTGTGGAAAAGCCAGGAGAATTTAGAGAAAAAAAACAGCCTTCCACGTTGCCACAAGAAATTCTGTGTGTGTGTGTATGTGTGTGTGTGTGTGTTTAAAGACCTGCATCCGAAGTCAACAGTTTACTTTTTAATATACAAATTTTTATTGAAATGACATTGGTTTATAACATTATGTAAGTTTCAAGTGTACGGCTTTATAACTTGACATCTCTAATCCTACATCACTCAAAGACTAGTTTCCTTTCACTACCATACAATTGATCCCTTTTCCCGTATCTCACACCCCCAATCCACCCCATCTTAGCAGGCTTTTTAAGAAGAACTCTTGTTTTTCTGTATAAATGCATACTTCCTCTTGTCCAGTTTGCCTGTTAAGGGAATAAAGCACAATTCAGGTTTCCGAGTTGGAAGCCTGATTAATCTCTCTGCCAGTTACATATGGAAATAAATTAGTAAATGGTCCATCTGGGACTAAACTACTGCAGAGATGATAAATTATAACCCTTGTATATGTCTGTGTTGCTAAAGACTGAGTTGTGCTCACCAGGAGCTGCTGAAAGATAACTGGATGCTTTATGGTGGTCAGAGGAATAAAATTTTTTTAAAAATTACAAGTAGAAATTTTACCCTGAAATGTTCCTTGGGAGAATGGTTTGGTTGATGCCAAGTTTGTTCCTTAGAACTGCTGTATCTGCAAATATTTAAAAGGAGAGTCTCAAGGGCATATGAAACATAGTACTTTTATATTTTCAAAGGCCAATACAATAACAAGTATTAATTAGCTCTCAATGAGCTATTTCTAAACCTATGTGATATTAGATAATATGTTATCTATTATATCATATAGATAATTCTGAATCTCCATGTGGTATTACAGTTCATAATTTCCATAGCAGCTTCATGTCTATTTTCTTATTTAAATTTCAAAGAAGCTGGGGCAAGTCTATTTCTATTTCTTGATCCACAAAAAATTGAAATGTAAGGGGCTGGGTATTTTGCCCATGACTCAGATGTTTATATGGCAGAGCTGAGATGGACCACCAGATATTGCCAATTTTGAATCCAGCTTCCTTTCAATCAGAGCCTTGTATGATATCAAAAACATTTCAGTAGCCAATCATTTACCCAGCAGCATTAGGAAAGAAAACATTTTATTTACGTCAATTTTCTAGAAGCAAAAGCCACACCTTCTAGATCATGAAAAGTATTTCTTTCTCTAATAGGAGTTATTGAGTATAGGCTTAAATTTTTCTTATGACTCAAGCACACCACTGTCCACTTGAATTATTTTATAAAACTAAAACCTCAGATGTCCTGGGGGCTTTTAGGTATGGTATCATTTTGCCCCTTTGCAGAATGGCCCGAGGCTACTGTGACATCTAGATTCTTGCACCTCCTTTAAAATTTTCTTTTGTGTCTTCCTCCTGGGCTAAGATAACTGGATGCTTTATTATGGTGAGAGGAATAAATTAATCCTTAAAGCAACTGAGGGCCTCTCTCCTCTTTCTAGGAATGCAATAGGAAAAGTACAGAGAAGCAGATGGATTTAGAAATCCTTCGGTCACTGTGTTCATCAGATATCAATCTCTAGACATAAGCAATGGGTGTGGCTGGGTGATCTTCATACAAGAAAAAGAAGTCACAGGGCCCTTGATTCATTCTCCTGTCTGTACTGCAAGTAACCTTGTCTCAGCCAGATCACCTTCAAGTGTCTCATGTATCAGTCAGTCCCTGGCTACTCCAGGCACCTAAATACCCCCACTCTCACCTCTGGGACTTTGTTTCAGCTTTTGCCAGTTTTCACCTGTCAAAATCCTGTCCAAATCTCAAGAGCTGTTACTACTATCTTTGTCTTGATGCCTACCCCACCAGAAACAAGTCTTTCCTGAAACTTTCTTACTGGCAGAGAAAGTGACACAATCTGTGTTTGAGTATAGGCCTCTCTCTTCTCCCATAGTGGACAAAGGTGGGGATTTCCTCATGCTCTCTGGCCCTTTCTCCCTCCCCTTACTCAATGCTTTGCCCTTAATTGGAGCTCAATACACAGTAGATTTAAAGTGATTTTATAATCACAGAGTAAATGTTTTTGGATGGCTGAATAAATTAATAACACAAGATGTATCCGAATCTTAGAGGGCTTGTTTTAAAAAGATGGTTGGAACCTAATATGAAATATTCAGATTCAGTCAATCTTAGATGTTGGTGGTAAGAAGGCCAAGAATTTGCATTTCCAAGAAACTCTAAGCTGATGTTGATGCTGGTACTATAAGGAACCACAGCTTAAAAAAATACCAATCTAATGAATTTATTTCCTAACATTCTTGCATAAAAGCTCATAGGATAATACCATTCTTTGCACCAAGTTTATTGATTTGTCTTCCTTGAAATGAAGGCTAGAAACTTCCATTAGAAATTATTATGCAATTTGTCTCATTTTGCAAAATTATTGGTTAACTGTGACCTAAGAACTTGCAGGTCATTTAGTGAGCTTTGACTTCATGGCTCCCTAGGAGGAGAGCCCAGATTTTATAACACAATAGTCTGTGACTTTGCAGCCTGTCTCTGGTCTACTCCATGGATCAAAGCTGACACACACTGGAATGCCAGCCTCAAATGCTGTTGGTGCTGATGCTTTCCCTTTATGTAGACAAGTGTTTTCAGTGGCAGCTGTAGTAAAATAAAATGTTCTCACAAATGTCTCAATCACGGTTATAGTAAAATAAGATCTCCTCACAATGTGTATGTATTTTCAAATTTCTGGGTCCTTGTATGTATGTCCCATGAGGCAGTTTCATGAACACTCCATCGTGAAAGACCCAGTGCTTCAATAACTTTCCGAGAAATAGTGAGGTTGTGTCGAAATTGACTTTTTCATTGAAGTGTGTCTCATTTTGTAGAGTCAGGCCAGAGTTGACATCTGTGGTGGTTGAAAGGGTCCTCTGTCCTCTTCTGCTCTAATCCTGTCTTTCTCTGCTCCTCTCAGCAGTCACTAGAAGTGTCCTCATCTGGAAGACCAGCATTCTCATGACCATGGAGGCCTCTCTGTCCTTTCTGTGACTGGAGCAATGCTGACCTCGGTTTCCTGGACCCGTTCTGACTCAGGTAACCACATCCCACTGCCCCCAGCACCCCATTCCTTAGGGAGATTGCATTGAATAAATGAAATACCAAAGCTATATTTAAATGTAAGTGCCAAATTGATTGTTTCTCCACCAATTGCTTTCCCTCCCCCTTCTTTCCAATTTTCTTAATGATCAATTTATGCAGCTGATCAGACTGACAATGTGGTCAATCCAATTTAGACATTAAGATAATGAAAACATTGACTCACATCTTTATTTAAAATTTTGCTTGGACTCTCAAAGCAACAGGAACATTGCTGGGGATTTTCATCTATCAACTAACTTCTACCATAGTAGTTCCTCTAAGTCACTTCTTTCTCATAATACTTTATTTTTATTTGAATTACATTAAATCTTCCTAATGTTGTACCTTTTAATTGAGTTCCATAAGTATTATTGACTATCAATTATGCGTTCTCAGTACAGATGGAGATAAAAATGTGAGAGTGGAGTTATCCTCATGGCGCTCACAGCCAAAGATCCGTGACTCACTAAGAAAATGGTAGATGGTGTTGCTCAGTTGAGGGCTGGGCTGTGCACTGGTGGCAGCTCTGCACAGTGAAGCAAGAGACTCTGAAGACTGGGACTGAAATAACTGGGGAAGACTTCACAGAAGAGGGAGGGCTCCCTGTGGGCTTTAGCACTGTGGCTCACTTGGGCAGGAGGCGGACAGAGGAGCGGAATGGTGCCTGGAAGGGAAGACAGAATGGAGGCCTCTATGAAGCCCAGCAGTGAGGGCCCTGGCTGCCTGGACCAGACAGGGCTTTGAGGACCCTGATTCTCTGTTCCAGCCAGACTCTGTTTTAGAGTCTGGGTGACTTTTGGTTTCCCTGGGGAACCCCAGCTGTCCCATTTCAGAGGGGCCTTGGTTGGGCTGGTGGTTCTCTTCAGGAGACATTGGTCATTTGTTCCAGCCTCTTCGTGGCTGCTACCTTGCTGGCCTTTCTGCTACTTCAGGCCTGTCCATGCCCGGCCTCTGCCAGTCTGCCTGATGATTCACTCTTCACTTACTCACCTTCCCTCTCCCCTTCCAGCTCTGTCTGGCTGAATGGGCCTGACAAGGACTCAGAATGACCCAGAGTTTGTGTGAGGCCAGTATCTGGGGTTCACAGCGTGTGACTCAGCTGAGAAGTGGGGTTGAAGGGTAGGAAGCATCAGCCAAGAACATGAATTTGTAAGTTAATGTTGACAGGGTATCAAAAAAATTCTGAAATCCAGAAGCAGGGAAGTTCTCCAGGCCAAAACCAGGGCCATAGTCAGGGGTAGGGAACCAGGTGCTCTGATTAATTTTGGGGTCACCTAGCAAAGCTTGCTCATACCTAGCTCTTTTGGATAAAGACCTTTTGCTGTCGAGGTCATCAAGGTGTCTCTGTGAGTTGCTTGCCAAGGGGCTCCCCTCTTCCTGTTGGCCCTGCCCTGGCCACACCACAGGTTTTAGCATCCTGGGGGGCTCCCTAGGTGGACACCCAGAAGTCTACCTCCCGGGAATCAGTGTCCCAGATCACCAGCTACCCGGAAGCAGGAGAACTAGAGTGATGATATTTGTGCTGTCCCCACACTAAAGAGATTGCCTTATACCTCTTTGTCCCCCTCTTCTCAGCCTGTACAGGGGTCGGCCATGTACAGCCCTGTGACCTGGGCCGGCCTACTGCTTGTTTGTATATGGCGGACAAGCTGAGAATCGTTTTTTTGTATTTTTAAATGGTTGGGAAATTTGAAAACAGTAACATTTTGTACCTCATGAAAATTTTATGGAATTCAGATTTCAATTGTCCCTAAATAAAGTTTTACTGGAACATAGTCATGTTCATTCATTTCCAGATTATTTATGGCAGCTTTTTTGTTGTAACAGTGGAGTTGAATAGATGTGACAGAAACCATAAAATATTTACTCTAGGACCCTTTGCAGAAAAAAATTGCCACCCTCTGATCTAGGCAATTCTGTGGACATGTGTCTTGGCAAAATTAGAGGTGTGGGACTTTCTCTCTCCATAAAGAAAACAGGATTTTCTTTGAAGGATAAGAAGGATTCCCATAAGAGAAGCAAGAAGGAATCTTCTAGATTGATATAGAATTGTTCACACTTCATAAATTAGTTGGAATTTCCATTCATCTGCTTAACTTTCAATTAAATCTAGATATGACATGACATTAAGGCCATTTCATTTCAGAAACCTAACACATTAGGATTATCTTTAAAACGAGAAGCCATGGCTTCTTGGATTAACCTAAATGTTGGAATATATCAACACCCGATTTAAACTCACCTTGCGTTTTGGAACTTTTTCTTTTTTATGTGGCTCTGGGTGTGAATTGTTTTATTTTAAACCAAAATCAGTATTTGGGTTTTTTGGTTTGTTTTGTTTTTTGAAAGATTTATTTATTTATGAATACAAGAACTGGGGTACAGGCCAGAGGTGCAGGGAATAAGAGGCTTCACCAGAAAGAGTGGGGAGCAGAACAGGCAGATCTACTGAAATACACTGCTGAGGGGACCAGCGGGAGAGTCAATAGAGGTCTGCTGTGCCATGTGGGTAGCTCCCTGGCTGGCTGGGGATTGAACTGGTGCTGCAGAGACAGCAGATAGTTTCACAGTGCTGTGCTTAACCTCTTGTGCACCAGGGAGGCCCAATATTTGTTTTTTAATCAAATAATCATTGAAAAGTTACCTTGAGGAAACTATGGCACTGACCTTGGCAGTATTTTCCCAAGCTGGTAGGATTTCATGATATTGAGTAAAAACTATGGTGCAAGTTGGAGAGGACAAATCAGCCCCACTCACTTGCTGGGCAGGGCCTGTGTGTTCCCTGGGCAGAGAGTACTCACCAAACCCCAGGGCTCAGTGCAAAGAAAGCTGGTTTCTCACTCACCCAGAACTATTCAGCCCCGCCGTGCCCATCCTGCACCCGGCCCCCCTCACCCTCCCATCCAGTGGCACCCACACCTCAGAATATGGCTTCCTGGCTGCTGCCACATATGAAGACTTGAGTCACACACCCATTCTTTATTTTTTATTGAATGAAGTCTTCACTTTTCATTTCTTTTTCTTTTCCTTTTTTTTATATTTTATTTTATATAATTCTTACATAATTTTTCATTTTTGCACAATGTATGCATTTTCATTTTGGTTATATTCCCCGTACAATACCCACCCCCTTTATTTTGGCCCTAATGCCTCTTCTCCTCTTCCCCGCCCACCTCCATTAGTGTGGCTCTGGTTTATGGTTGCTTGTTGATTTTTATTTTTCTTTATTATAATTAGTCTTTTTCCTGGTCCCTTATTTAGGTTTTCTAAAATCCTGCTATGAGTGAGATCATCCGATATTTTTCTTTTTCTTTCTGGCTTACTTCACTGAGCATGATCCCTTCCAGCGCCATCCATGTTGCCGCAAATTGCATGTGTTTATCTTTTTTGAATGCTGAGTAATATTCCATGGTGTATATGTACCACATCTTCTTGATCCAGTCATCTATTTTTGGGCATTTGGGTTGTTTCCATAGCTTAGCTATTGTAAATAGTGCTGCTATAAACATAGGGGTGCAGGTGCTCTTTGGAATTGATGTTTCTGTGTCCTTTGGGTAAATACCTAGGAGTGGAATTGCTGGATCCTATGGAAGCTCCATCTTTAGTAGGTTGAGGAATCTCCACACAGCTCTCCATAGTGGTTGGACCTCATTTCTTTTTCTGACAACCTTTTCTCTCCCCACGAGGAAGCTCAATTCTGTCACTTAGCACAGGTTGAACAGCCTCGCCTCCTAGGAACGTCATGCCTCACAGCACCAGCTCTCCCATGCCCGCCTGGGCACAGGCTCCCGTGGACTTGGGTGCTGTCCCAACCTTCTTGGCATAAAGGCTAGCAACTGTATTACCTAAGGTTCAGGGCAGCCTAGTCTTGTTTGAGGCTGTGTTGTAGGAGAACCCACAAAGTTATGTCAAAGGGACCTTTCTCCCTGCCTCCCTGCCTCCAGACACCATCCTGGAAGGGGAAACACTACCCACTCGTAGGGGCCTCAGACCGGGAGGGAGCTGACCACCTCCACAGCCATGGTCAGAATTGCCACGTGACCCTGCCTTCCACTAGAGGCTGGGAAGCAGGAGGAGCAGAGGGGTGCTTGGGGTCCCCTGCAACTCTAGATCTTGGAGGAGAGTCTGGACATTTTCTCTGCTTCTGTTTCGTGCCACTCGGGGTAAATTAACCCAGTGCTGCATTTTCATTTCCCCACAAGGCTTCAGAGAGATTCCAGTAGGATAGATGAAAGAGCTCGCAGGCCATAGGAAACTCTAAAATTGGCGAGATGTGATTGGTCCCTAATTTCTTTATTATGTCGGGAATGGTGATGAGCTGGAAGCACGGCCCTTTTCTCTCTCAGGGTCCTCTCTCTCTTTCTCTCTCTCTCTCTCTCTCTCTCTCTCTCACACACACACACACACACACACACACACACCATATGCCGGGGAGCACCCTTGCACTCACCAGTTGACCTAGTGTAATTGTATCCACTTTTCCCCGTCACACCCAGAAATATTCTGGTAAAGAGAGGACATTCTATGATCACCCCAGCTCTCATAATCTTCCAGATTAATGTCAGTTCCCGTTTATTGAGCTCTTTCTGAGAATCAAACACTCTTCTAAGCTTTCGCCTACATCACTTCATTGAATCCCCAAAATAAACGTGTGAAGTAGGTACAAGTAATCTCCCCATTTTAAAATGAGATAACAGATGCAGAAAGACTTGAGCTGTTTCTGATCCCACTGCTAGTGAGTGGCCATGCTTGACATGAACCCAGGTCTGTCCTGCTCTTAAGCACTCATTAGGGTTGCCTTCCCCCTCCTTTACCAAGACTTGACCAATATGGTGCCCTCCCCCCGCCCCCGACTTGGGAGCCTGTTCCTAGACCACACACAGAGCTAAGCAATGAGTCCAGCCCTTTGTGACCTGACCAGAGGAGCCACGCAGCCATGGCCATCTCTGGAGCCA